ATTCCTCTCATTTTAGGCAACTTTGATCTTTGCCTCTGATTTTTACTTATTTATTTGGGACAGGAGGCCATTGAGCTGAGCAGATGAACAAGCTGCTCGCCATTTTTTTCCCAGAGACGCTAAAGCAGGTAAAAGACAATAAGAGGAACTGTTGATGTTTTATATTACACCATTATGTTAATGTTCACTAAAGTATGCCGTGAGCGCTCTCATTACATGTGTATAAACCAATTCTCTGTGGTGTTATTCCTGTGCTAAATGCTATAACTACATAAATCTTGAATTAATGGAGACTTTATAGTTGCTAAAAAATGAAGGGTAATTGCTATCTGTTAATGCTGTTGGAGCGAGCAAAGGGAAATATATCTGTATGTAGGTATGTAGAGATTTGTGGGCTGACGGAACACAGCCACGTTTGGTGGCACATGGGCTCCGAGAAGAAAGTTCAAATCCCTTGGCTTTCATCTAACGGGGCAAATGGGGCAATAGTGAGGGGGCTGTCCTCAAATTACAGCCACAACTGAGCCCAAAGTTTCTGTTGCTAAGCGAGACATTTGTTAAGTTTGTTTTGCCCTGTTTTACGGCATTCCTCGCTATAGTTATTACTAATAATAAAAAGATCGCCCGGGGGACAAAAGAAGCGATATAAAGAAATGTTGAAAGCCTCTCTCAAGTCCCTGGATATTAACACCATCTCTTGGGACTTCTTGTGCATGATCGACTGACATGGCACACCTTGGTGTACCAGGGTTGCCAGACATATGAACACAGAAGGACAATCTTGGCACAAGAGAAGCGAGCACTCCGCAAAGCCAGAGCTGTAAATGCTGAAGTAACAGTGTCTACATTTCTTTGTTCAGTATGTGGCAGAACATTCCGTGCCAACATCGGTCTTATTAGCCACCTACGGACACATCGTTGATGGCCCATAACCCAAAAGATGTCAAGGTCTTCATCGAAATCGATGGACGAACAACATAATACTAATAAACCCTTTATTATCAAAGTATAACATGTATACAGTGAAATTGGCTGAGCCTCCCTCAACACAAACTCACGGTGACCTGAGAATTAGAATTAGAATTCCAGACTGAATAGCTGCTGTAATAAGCTGGAATAAGATCCAAGTGCTATCATTATCAAGCCGTGGCCTGACGCTTGGTGGGGTTCTAAGGCTGTGAGGTCATCCACCCAAAATATGTTGGGTTATGGAAAAACAGGGGGCCTTGCAAAGCAAAACAAAGGTTGCCTTGGTTATGTGCTACTTGAGACATCAGCACTTCCAAGCTTGCATTGGTCTTCCTTCAAAATATCAACTCTAGTCTCCAAGTGTATGTTTTTAAAGTCCCTAGGCCCTTAATATGTGCCATTCACAACTGGGGGTGGACCCAGCTGAATGAGAGTATAAGTTTACCTGCCAATAACCAGGATACAACTGTTGCTACAAATAAATACCTACATTCCTGTTGAGAAATAGACTTCCACTCAATCAAGAAGAGACTGGACAGCCACCTGTCTGAAATAGTATAGGGTCTCCTGCTTGAGCAGGGGGCTGGACTAGAAGACCACCAAGGTTCCTTCCAACTCTGTTATTCTGCTAAAAATAGAATGTTCCCATCTTAGTTTTCACAGGTCTCAAGCAAGGCAGACAAAAGCAACATTACTCAACACACAGACACACAAAAAGCCAGATTCAGCAACTTGGGTGGCTCACCCATTTCCGTGTTCTTGGACATCCCAGCCGTGCAAGTCATTCAAGGCTTTTTCCTTGAGATGACAGATTAAGGTCACCTTATTTTCTCAAGCTTTGAAACGGATGATTGGTGCTGGTTGATGCTGTTTATTTAAACTTCCTCTCCTGCTGACCTTCCTGTATATATTTGTTCTTGTTGTGCTTTTACTGAGTTATAAGACGCTCTCTGTCTATTTGCTTTAGGCCCTTCTTAGCCTAGCTTTCAATCAATGCTTTTGAGAGCAGCTTGGCCAGTTAAGTATACAACGACCCAAAGACAATATGCAAAATAAATAAAGGAATGACACAACACAGTCGACCCATTAAAAGCAGCAGTGGATCAAAGCCCATGGCTCAGTTTAAGAAAGAATAATTAAAAGGTCTTAATGATAACAGAGAAGACTTTCAGAAAAGTCCCAGAAATGGAAAAGGACCACCAGTGAAGACCCCCTTAACTGTTAAGTTTGGGGTCATGATTGGGAGAACCTTATCAGGCGTGAAACAACACCAGGTCCACACCTCAAGGTTCAATTAAACTGATCTATTGCTAAAAGCCTGTACACAGGAATCTTCTCAGAGTTAGATAAAGGGGGAACTGGCAGTCAAGAAGTGTTGAGCATAGTTCTCTTGTGATTACGTAGGGGTTCTAGGCTGATCCCTCTTTTTCACTCCACCCCTGGTTCTGCCATCTCTTCTACAGGTCTGGAGGACAATAACCAGTGGTGGGATTCAGCCTGTTCGCACCACTTCGGCAAAACCAGTAGCTAATTTTTTGTTGCCCAGGCCCAGAACGGACTTCCGGAAGCGGCATCCACACAGAGAACCGGCTGTTCACCTGTTTGAATCCCACCACTGACAATCACCCCAAAGAACTTGCATGCTATAAGCAATGAATTCAAATCCTTTTTTTTTTTTTTTTTTTTTTTACAAAATTAAAAAGACAGGCTAAATTTCTCTGAGACGCACTTAACCTGCTGAAGAACAGAAGATTGGAATTCAAAGACGCCTGGGAAATTTTACAACTTGGGAAATGGATCCCAAGCTGGCAATTCACATTTTGACCGGAAGCAAAGAGCCCAGCCAATAAAAAAAATGAATATTTATCTACATTAAATATTTGCAAGACTTTTTGCCATCAAGGCAAAAAGATTATGATATCGTATGCACCTCGTTTTTTTAAGCGAATGTCAAACCTGTTGCAAAATAAAAGACTGAAAAACGTCTGGGCAAACTAGTCTTAAGAATATAATACAAAGCCCACTAAAGCATCTGGCAAACGTAAGCTTTGTGTAAGAAGTACAGCTAATCTTTTCAAGTACAGTAAGAGCCAGGACTGCAAGGTGATCAAACTGGTCAGTCCTAGAGGAGATCAACCCTGACTGCTCTTTAGAAGGCCAGATCCTGAAGTTGAAACTCAAGTACTTTGGCTACCTAATGAGAAGGAAGGACTCACTGGAGAAGGACCTAATGCTGGGAAAGATGGAGGGCAAGAGAAGAAGGGGACGACGGAGAATGAGGTGGCTGGATGGAGTCCCTGAAGCAGCAGGCGTGAGCTTAAAGGGATTCCAAAAGATGGTAGAGAACAGGAAGTCCTGGAGGAACGTCGTCCATGGGGTTGCGATGGGTCGGACACGACTTCGCAACTAACAACAAGAGCCAGGAGTGGTGTGGATGCAGTCCTGGTGTTAAACTAATGATGGCCACAAAAATTGTTTTTGCTCATGGTTAAACAAGGATTTATGCCTCAAGTGTACAGTTGCCCCACTGGAATTTATTCCACATCAAGAGATATTATAGGTAAGTCCTTGACTTATAACCACAATGGAGCCCAAAATTCCCATTGCTAAACAAGGCAGTTGTTAATTGAGCTTTGTCTCTTTTTGACCTTACTTGCCCCATGTTGTTAAGCGAATCACTGCAGTTGTTAGCAACACAGTTGTTAAGTGAATCTGGCTTCCCCCATTGACTTGGTTTGTCAGAAGGTCGCAAAAGTTGATCACGTGACCCCGGGACATGGCGACGGTCATAAATGTGAGTTGCCAAGCAGCTGAATTTTGAACACGTGACCAGGGGGAAATGTTGCTATGGTTGTAAGTGTGAACAATGGTCGTAAGTGTGAGCAATGATCCTAAGTCTCTTTTTTTCATTGCTGATGTAATTTTGAATAGTTGTAAATGGAGGAGTGCCTGTTAACTGGAAAAGTCCGTGCAGATTGCTGGATTATTTATTTATTTATTTATTTATTTATGAGACTTACATACCGCTTTAAGTGCAAGCACTCTCTGAGTGGTGTACACCAGTAAGCAATGTATATAGCCCAGGTTCAAATCTCAGAAGAGTAAGTTTGGCTGATGAGGGTTAAAGGAACCCGAAATAGCTATACCATTCTCTCTTTATTCTTTGTTAGCAAAACCTAAAAACCTAAATATATATATATATATATATATATATATATATATATATATATATATATATATATATATATATATATATATATATATATATTTACATTGCCCCCAACAATCTGGGTCCTCATTTTACCTACCCCGGAAGGATGGAAGGCTGAGTCAACCTTGAGCCGGTGAGATTTGAACCGCTGACCTGCTGAACACAGCCAGCTAAAGTGGCCTGCAGTACTGCACTCTAACTGCTGCGCCACCTCGGCTCCTATAAAAACACACATTTATACCTGCATCCCTTTTCTCCTTCTTGCCCTCTCAAACATCTGACTCTCCTCTCCCGATGACTAAACCTCCAAAAGTCAAAAACAACAACAACAACAAAAAACGCCACTGCACGATCAATTTGTTATGCACGGAGCCAAGACACAACCTGACAGTTAACAGCATCAGCTGCAAAAACAGGTTCCTGGTTGTCCATCTGCTTACTCCATTACACAAACTGACATGTTTAAAGTCGTTATAAATAAAATATTGCTTTGCAAGTCATTACGGTAGCAAGCCTTTTTTCCAAACTAGGACGATACAGGCACCGGCGCGGCTCTGAATTCATTTCCAATCAGAGCTTATTCATCCAGGAATTGATTCTTGTTAGCAACAAGCAGGGTTTTTTTTGTGGGGGGGAGGGATAAGTGTCTGCAGGCATGCATAGGGAAGCTCAAAGCAAAAGACAAAAGCTCAAGGGGTTCAGCAATTAATATTTCTAAAAGTAGGCAGACAAAACAAAGTATCGTCGTTTCTTTTTGCTTTTTGGGGGGATGACAGAGTAGGTAAAAATTATTACTGTAAGTAAAGAGACGGGGTCTTACCTTATCGTCAATATCACTCTCGCTGTCGCACTGTAAATTATAAAAAAAGAGAGAGAGAAAGGAAAAGATTCAGTTATAACGGGTAGGAAAATAAAACCACAGACATCAAGGTATAATTCACCGCTAAATCATCTACTTTTCCTCTCTTCTAGAATGAAAGTCCTTATGTCAAACACAACTTTTTTTTTTTAAACTATCTTCATCTCTGGGATTCTCAGGCCCTTTTGCACCTCATGAGCCAAACAGAGAAAGTTTTAATTTCAGCACTGCTCAATTTCAGGCTTCAAATGATTTCACTGAACCCAAGAACCGGTGGGATCCTTTGGACCAAAAGTGGGAAGCATGCGGGCAACTCTTGAAGTTTCTTCTAACTCCGATGGCATATGTCCTGCCATGTTGAGGTTGCAAGGCATGCATACAGGAACAGAAGCCCTAAAGTAGCCAATCATAATTTAAAAAAAACAAGCAAGCACACCAACTCTCCATCCTTGAAATCCATCCCTATCCAGGTGGACAATGTGGTCCTACTCGACTGCGGATGCAAAATTTTCAACCCAATCCTAAGCGTCCCAAAATCTGTGATAGATCAGTGCTTTTTCAAACTTGGTGACTTTCAGATGGATGGATTAAGGTGTCAGTGAGGGATTCTGGGGATTGAAGTCCACCCATCTTAAAATACAAATAGGGTATTAAAAAAAAGATGCGGAGGTCCTAGAGTGTGTGCAGAGAAGAGCAACGGAGATGATAAGGAGTCTGGAGGATAAATTGCACGATGAACATTTGAGGGAGCTAGGTATGTCCATCCTAACGAACAGAAGGTTTAAGGGGGACATGGTAACTGCCTTTCAATGCTTGAGGAGCTGTCACAGAGAAGAAGGGTTTGACTTATTCTCCAAAAGCACCAGAGGGCAGACAAGAAATAATGGGTGGAACCTTGTCAAGGAGAGATTCAACCTAGAAATAAGATTTTCTGACAGTGAGAATAATTAATCAATGGAACAGCTTGCCTGATGGAGTTGTGGATGCTCCATCACTGGAGCTTTCCAAAAACAGGCTAGATCAGTGGCTCTCAACCTTTTCTTCACCACTGACCCCCTTTAGATACCTTTTGTGGCCGTGGTCCATGGCCACGGACCACCAAGACTTAACTCAAGATTTAAATCACAACGTTTCTTCAAGCTTTCATGGAACGCCAGGGATCTGCAGGCCATAGGCTGAGAACCCTCTGGAATAGACAACCATTTGACCGGGATGTTATGCTGTCTGCTGCCTGGGGGGTTTCGTCTAGAAGACCTCCAGCCTTAGGATTATATTTTCTACGTTCTAAAGCGGCCCATTTGAAAAACGCTCCACTAAGTCCTCAAGGAATAGGAGTAGACCTTGAGTAGTTTTACACCAAAGGCTCTTACTAGCTTGGCAAATGAACCGCCTGCGTTGTTTTCAGCTGTACATATGGCAGGATAATCACAGGTTGGAATGCTCGAGGATGCACAGAGCTGAGTAGCTGGGGACGGGAGAGCATTACCACATCGCCAGGTTAAAAGAAGAGAGCTATTTGGATTGCTATCTGGGCAGAAAATGACCTCTGAACAGCAGGGGGTTTCTCCATTAAACTAGGAGCCTTCCCACTGAATGCAAATGTGTTTGCTTGCTCAAAAGAGCTCAGTACACTTTGGGCAGCCCCGTTGTCAAAACACCAACAACCCTAGAGAGAAATCCTGAACTACCAAGTCTCTTTCCTCAATCTTCCCGGAGACAAATTGCACAGTCTGGTTCCCATCAAAACTGATCCAAAGGCCTATCAATTTCCTAGAGAGGCCACTTATTTCTGCATCAGTTGGACTGGTTCTGGAATCATCGGAAGATGCATTCTGACAACCAAATAACACCTATACTGTGAATTAGGCTTGCGGGGGTGTGTGTGTGGAGAAGAAGCCAGGACAGAAATAAGATTTGGAGCCAGGCTCCACAGGAGAATGGAAAGAAACTTTCATTTGCACCTAAGTACTTTCAAGCGTGTCTGTTATGCAAGGTCCACATTTCACAGAACATAGAACAGAGGTCTTCAAACTTGGCCCTTTTATGACTTGTGGACTTCAATTCCCAAAATTCCTCAGCCAGGCATGCCCGTGTCTGGCTGAGGAATTCTGGGAATTGGAGTCCACAAGTTATGAAGGGGCCAAGTCTGAAGAACCCTGGCCTAGAACTTAGAATAATAGAGTTATAAGGGCAGTGAATTCTGGGAAGGCATTTTGTAATTTCTTATTCTCAGCTTGCCCAGTCACCTGTAAATGACCACCCTTATTTAGAAAGCATTCTGGAATCCAAAAGGCTGGGGCTGAATTTTTAAACAGAGATTTTTAAAAAATGGGAGACGCAACCCTTTTCAGGTCTAGCTTTAGTTGTTTTCCTAGTGTCATCCAAGTTTTTTTAAAACACACACACACACACACACACACACTAAATAGCTGCTTTCTGATTAAAGGTGTGCAAACTCTAAAGGAATTTAACAGGTGAAGAAGGCAGAAAGGGGGGGGGAGTTCCTTTCCGTCTTTTAACCACAATGGGACAAAAGCCCTTGTCAAAATACACAGCTTAAGAAAAGTTGAAGAATGTCAAGGACAGACAGCTCTGAAAGACAAAAGCCTCAATTATCTGAATTTTCCTCCAGGCTGTTAAAGCTCCCCGGGTTTATAAGTAAACCGGTTTATAAGTAAATCTGTAAACAGCCCATTGTATTCTGCTCATAAGGGCTTGTAAAGGGATTACGGTAGAACGGTGCCAATTGCCTCTTCATTCTGCCAAAAAGGTTCCTAAAGAAGATCTTAATTGGCCTGTTTTTTTTTTACTCCCCAGTAAAAATAATGACAGGTTTAATCCCGAATTCAGCAAAGGGAAATTGAAGAAGGAAAGAAAAGAAAAGAAAAAGAAAACAGGGAGGAGAGAGGGAGGGAGGGAGGGGAAGGAAGGAAGGAAGAGGGAGGGAGGGAGGGAAGGAAAAAAGGAAAGAAGGGAGGGAGAAAGGTTAGAAGGAAGGAAGGAAAAGACAAGATAGATAGATAGATAGATAGACAGAGAAGACAGAGAGAGAGAGAGAGAGAGAGAGAGAGAGAGAGAGAGAGAGAGAGAGAGAGAGATGGATGGATGGATGGATGGATGGATAGATAGATAGATAACCTTCATTGTTATTTTTTATTGTGGGCACAATGGCACACATTAAAAATGAAATTCTGTTGCTTGCTCTCAAAAGCGTATACATACCTAACACATCTGTATAAACATGCTATACACAACAAATGTATACACCTACACCCTTACATATAAGCAACATATACATATTAAACACCATCCATCTTGAATACATAACGGAAGAAGGACGCTTTAGACCAGTGGTTCTCAACCTTTTTAATGCCGCGACCCCAACCGGTCGTAAGTCGAGGACTACTCAACTGGTGCAGCACGGTTTGCAGAATGGGGCTTTTGGCGGGCTCAGCAGGGCAGAGACAACCTGGACAATTCCTATTGGCTTTTGAAAGCCAATAGAATTAGACTCTATTCAAGAGAGTCTATTCTATTGGCTTTCAAAAGCCAATAGAATAAAAGAGAGTAGCGCAGCTAAGGAAAAGGGGAAAAAAATGGCGGACTGTGTTGTTTGGCGACCCCCGTGAAATGGTCGTTCGACCCCAAATGGGGTCCCGACCCACAGGTTGAGAACCGCTGCCTTAGAGTTAATACTGCATGGAACAAAACTGTGACTGAATCTAGATCTTCTGCTTCGGATACCACGGAGCCCCCTCTTCCCAGAAGGTAACAAGGAAAACAGGTCGTGAAGAGGGTGTGTAGTGACCCGGACAATCTTGCGGACCCTGCTCAAGCAACGCTTACATGCCACGTCCTGGATGGAAAGGAGGGAACTGCCAATAATCTTTTCTGCCGTCCTCACCACTCTCTGCGCCGCCTTCCTGTCTGAAGCAGCGGGTGAATTAAGGAGTTTGTTTATTTACTTGCATTTTATATTTCTTAACCATCTATCTCTATCAAAGAGAGGCCTGTTTGTTTGAGGGGTGTCCGTGGAAAGGCTCTCTAGGTGCAAAGGTGAGCAGGGAACCCCAAGTGACCTGCGCCTGCTTTATGAGAAACAGTAAAGCCCACCCTTCCCTATGAAGTTGGAAGAAAACCAGGCCCTGCAGAAAGACCCAAACCTGCAAAAAAAGAAAAGAAAGAAAAGAAAGAAGGAAGGAAGGAAGGAAGGAAGGAAGGAAGGAAGGAAGGAAGGAAGGAAGGAAAGAAAAAAATCGTGGAGGAGCCGTGGTCTCATTTATTTACCTACAGAACCCCACGGAGGCATCCCTCCATCTGCGCCACCTTGCCCATTATCCTTTAACTAGAGAACCCAGAGGAGGTAACGGCGGCATCCATCATTTCCTGCGCCCAGGGGAAGAGCTATTAGCGGATCAAAGCTGTACATCAAGCGATGCCCCTAAGCGGGAAATGTTTTCTGCTGAAAAGAGAAGGCGGCCCACCTACGCCAAGACCAAACACAGCCACCAAAAAAACCTCGGCCTTCACTTTAGGCCACTTTCTGGAGACCAAGATGAAGATGAGGCAAGGGTCCAGGTGCCCAGACTCAGAACAGAACAGAGGAACAGAATTGGAAAGGGACCTTAGAGAGCATCTAGTCCAGGGGTAGGCAATCCTGGTTCTTTTATGACTCATGAACTTCAACTCCCAGAATTCCTAAGCCAGCATGGCTCAGCTTAGCTCTCCCTTTCCCCTCAGCATGGCTGGCTCAGGAATTCTGGGAATTGAAGTCCATGAGTCATGAGGGGGGCAAAGTTTCCCCATGCTGGCTCAGGAATTCCGGGAGTTGAAGTCCACGAGTCATACAAGAGCCAAGGTTGCCTACCCTTGATCTAGTCCAACCACCTGCTCAAGCAGGAGAGTCTATATACCATTCCAAATGATTGTCCAGTCTCTTCTTAAAGGCCTCCACCCACAACTTCTGAAGGCAAAGCTGTTCCACTGGTTAA